CATAGATCGCCAGTGAGCAAACACAGGCGATCCCATTATTGAATTAAGTAAACCACGTGACCATAGAGGAAACGCATTTTTGTAGGAATTTAGATGACGACTAAAGATCATTATTTCTAGTCTATCCTCTATTACTATACAGATCGCCATTTCTGCTCTATTACTATATGGAGCGCTATTCTCTACTCTATTCACTATAATATTTCTCTATTCGGATCACTATACAGGTTACATTCGAGAAAATATTATCGAGCAAGTGCTATTAGTGCGAGACTTATTTGAAGGCGTCTGACACCAGTATTGTTCAACGGCGTTATTATAGTTGTCTCTGCGATTACAAAGTCTCTACTACAATGAGCATTACAAAAGTGACACCAAGTATTCGTTGACAGCACAAAAATGGTAACCAGTGTTCGTTGACATCACAAAAGAAAGTTTCATCGTAAATCTTACATCTTGGGACATTTTTTAAAGAATCGTAAGTTTTGTGCAGGATCATGCTTATCATCGGCATAGCCCCCAATCTCACCATCGAGTTTGGATTTGTTTGTTTAGCGGCATATCAACTACTTATGGGTCATTTAATGCCGAAATTTAAATTTCTTGAGAGCATTATTAATTTTATTTTCAAAAATATATTGCTGGTAATTTTTTTTCTTCAAAAATATATGGCCAGTAATTATTTTGTTTTCGTTTTTTTAAATGATTTACTGTTATTTTTATACTATCATAGTGTTTTGATCCCATTTTGGGACCCTAACGGGTAATACCACCCTGTGTTTGGAAGGACCTAGGAACAACAGCAATTATTAGATGTTTCCATGGACCTCAAAACCTCTTAATCAGATGCCTTGCTGCCGGATGTAGTTTGTCGTCATACCCAGGACATCTCATCGTACACTGGCCTTAGGAGGGAAATAAATAAATCTAACAATTAATCATCTATACCTACCTACAAATTGAAATAGTTCTTGTGGTCATAATTCTTAGTGCGTAAACATATTTAAACATATATTTTTAAATGCGATATATTTTCAATATGGAGTCGATCATAGCACTCCGCAACTTTTTTTTTGTTATCTCTAAGGAGCGATTTCTCCGTTGCTTTCACCACCATTTGGAAGTCAGAATTTTCCATTTCTGACTGGTTGGCATCCATGGCTAGAAAACCTATTCTACCCTACTATTTTACCTATAACCGCGTGATTTTTAAAACTGTATTTCCTTCCAGGATTTAGGGGATCATTATTATCTATAGGTTCTTTTTGTGAGTTGTCATAAATTTCTGGGAGGGGCACATACTAGTGTGGTTTCTCCACGGTTTCGGATTCAGAAATTCAAATATCATAAGCTGTTGTCACTGAAAGCTATATAGCTTATTCTACGTTGTTATTTAATCCATAGCCATTGGAAGAAGATGCCCAAAGAGTATTCGTGAGAAAATGGACGCAACAGGTTAACCCGAAATTCACCGATTCCATTTTCTGCGTCGATATCATTCACACTGCCTGTACATCTTATTCTTATTTTTTCTATGCATCCTGTCCCTTCAGGGCGTGGACGACCATGGTTCTCCACAACAACCTTTTGCTTTCGCTCTTAGCAATGATTGCTTTTTGTTATATCTCCTAATCCCGTTTCAGCTAACCATTTTCAAGAGTTCGTTAGGTAGCGTATTCACTATTTGTTTTTTTTACCCCCTGCCTTCAACATGTCCTGTGAGTGTTTATTTTTCAAGCCCTCTTTTCTCATTATGTGAAATAGAATTTTCAATTGTATCTTTCTTTATTATGAGTGTCTTTTTGTTTCCATTTTCTCTAAAACTTTGTAGTTGGTCGCATGCACTGTCTCTGGTATTTTCAGAATCAAAATTCACATTTCTGGTCTCTGGTATTTTTAGAATCCCATTTCACATTTCTGGTCTCTGGTATTTTCAGCATCACATTTCTGGCCTCTGGTATTTTCAGAATCACATTTCTGGTCTCTGGTATTTTTAGAATCACATTGCACATTTCTGGTCTCTGGTATTCTCAGAATCACATTTCACATTTCTCGTCTCTGGTATTCTCAGAATCACATTTCACATTTCTGGTCTCTGGTATTTTCAGAATCACATTTCTGGTCTCTGGTATTTTCAGAATCACATTTCTGGTCTCTGGTATTTTCAGAATCACATTTCACATTTCTGGTCTCTGATATTTTCAGAATCACATTTCTGGTCTCTGGTATTTTCAGAATCACATTTCACATTTCTCATGTAGAACCACATTTCTGTTGCTTCAAGTCTCTTCTTCCTTTCTGAAGAGGCAGTACAGCCTTCCCTGCCATATAGGAGAAGCTATATTATATAATGGTCAGTAATGTATTCTTTGTTTCTTATGTGCTCCGTCAATGGAAATCTCAGCGTCTCTCTGTAGAATATATATTGCTTGAAGTTTCATCTCGGAAGAGGCTGTACAGCCTTCCCTGCCATATAGGAGGACCTATATTACAAAACAGTTCAGTACTATTTTCCTTGTTTCTAACGGAATTCGGCTGTTTCTTAATACTATGCTTAGCTTTTGGAAGGCACGTTTTGCTAGCCTACTGAACCCTTTACGCATTTCAAATTTCGTCATTGAATGTAAAATGTTTCCGTATAAGGAAACAGCTAATATTATCATTATAACTGGCCCGATTTTACATACCTCTCCAGATATAATTAAATTTATTTATTTATCTATAGACCCAAAATTCGACATAAGAATTCTTTTAATTCAATATTGTAGTCAAGTTAGGTGTTTGGTTAGTTTAACTCCATATCAATACTTCTTGGGATATTTACTTTTGAAAATATCTACCAAGGGATAAAAACCACAATCTATTAATCGTTCTAATATAAGAAGAATAAGAAAATAAGAGAAAGAGATGAGGTTGGTTTATAAGGTAACCAATCTTTGCGGCTTTTTTTTTCTTTTTTTACGTCGTGTGGGAAGATGATGCGCAAATGAGTGCGCCATGCGCCGGGAAATCGGCGTTGTTGAGGGTAGGGATATTGACCAATGCCAGAGGCATTACTCACCGTCATCAGTCAGAGCTCGAGAAATGGCAAGGATGCATGGTGGTATCAAAGCATCTTGTTCAGGGTTGTCTGCTTTATGACTTTGAGGTGGACTTGTCCACAACCGCATCAAGTCGCCAAATACGTCGAACCTCTTTGGGGATAATGTTGTCAGTGAACGGAATTCCAGACATTGGTTCCAGTAGTTTAAATCGTGAGATCTGTCCCTTTGTGATGAATATCTCAGTGGCTGGCCACAGTTGGTGGACAATGAGACCCTGGAGGTGACCATAGATGACAATAGCCAAACCTGTGGTGAGCTTGCCGAATGCTATCAGGTTTCTGATGAAACAGTTATACTTCACCTGCACAGCGTAGGGAAGGTGCACAAGTGGAACAAGTAGGTACCCCACACAGTGTCGAAAGCCAACAAGCGGCAGCCTGATTCTTGCTGCTTACTCAGCATCGCAACTTACCCATGTTCGATCCAGTACCCACCAGCAATGAAAAATGGGACCTGTATGACACTCGCAAGTGTGCCAGTTATTGGTTGTCACTAAGGAATCCCGTGTCTTACACAAGACCACCTCGACACCGACACAAGACCATGCTCTGTGTCTGGTAGACGGTCGACAAGAGATGCATTATGAGGTTCTAGCAACGGGTCAAACCATCACTGCACGACTACTCTCAGCGGTTGGAATGAGTGCAAAAGGCACTGAAGTGGCAGAAGCGAGCATTGGCGAATAGTAAACGTGTACTGTTTCTCCATGACAATGCCAGGCCTCATGTGACGCGTGTAGCTAGGCATATCATACGCGGATTTAGCTGGAAGACAATCTGTCATCCACATTACTTTCTGCACCTTGCGCCAACAGATTATCACCTCTTCCTTCCCTGGACAACCACTTTCCTAGGATATTCTTCGCAAATGATGCAGACTTGTAGCAGGCAGCCGCAGAGTTCTTTGCGTCCAAGATATCTGATTTTTGCCGCCAGGGCACTGCACAGCAAGAGTCATGTTGGTAAAATGTTCTGCATGTCGAAGGGAATTACTTTGATGTCTAAGACTATGTTAAATTTGCTGTATACTTTCTTCTCTAATAAATCAAAAACGACAATGACTTTTTTCGATTACCTTGTAAACCTATATATAAACATTTGCTGGATTATTCAATGCTGAATCTAAGTCTTTTAAGATAAAAATTAGAATGAATTAATCAATAGCCATCGGTCCGGTTTACACTTGAGACAAATGGTAGATATAAGTTGGGTTTAGACGTGCGTAAAATCCAAGTTCAGTTTACACATTAGTCAAAAGTTTGATATCGTTAGGGTTTGCAAGAATCCACCTGGAAAGTGGTCGCTTATTTCGGGGTGGAGGTCATCCTTCTAGAGTGGATCAATCAGCGTATTCCAAGCCCCGCCAACAGAGAAAGGGCACTAGGGTGATAGAGAAAACAGATGCCCCCACCCGGCACACACACTCTCTATCTCTCTCTCTTTCACTCTCTCTCTTTCTCTCCTCCCTCTTTCGGCCTTATTTCCATTATTTCTTTTCCCCACTAAATTTTATTCTTTCCTTCTTTTCTTTAATAATATCCCATCCAATTTCCTTTGTCTTTCCCCTTCTTCCTTTAGTTCCTAAATTTTTCATCAAGCTTTTTCCTTTTATTTCTTAATTCCTCTTTTTGTTTCATAATTTTCTTTCTCTCTCGTTTTCATTTTTACTTTTCCTACTAATTTTTTTAATTTTTATTTTTTCTTTTCTTTCTTTCTTTCTTTCTTTCTTTCTTTCTTTCTTTCTTTCTTTCTCGTTTTTATTTCCACACTCCGTAAATTGTATTTTTCTTTCTTTTTTCCTTAATAATTTTATATTTCGTTCTTTCTTTCTTTATTTATTTATTTATTTGTTTGTTTCTCGTTTTCATTTCCACACTCACTACTAAATTGTATTCCAATGCTTCTTTCTTTTTTCATTCATAATTTTATATTTCTTTCTTTCTCTTTTTCTTTCGTTCTTTCTTTCTTTCTTTCTCCCATTCTTCCTCGTTTTTGTTTCCACACTCCCGACTAAATTGTATTATAATTTTTCTTTCTTTTTTTTTTCTTTCTTTCTTTCTTTCTTAATTTAATTTTTCTTTTTTTCTTTTTCTTTTTTATTTCTGCTTTCCTACTCAATTTTTATTACTATTCTTCTTCTTTTCCTTCATAATTTTCTTCTTCTTTTTTCTTGTTTTTATTTCTACATTCCTTACTAAATTATCTTTAGTTTTGCGTTTTTTACTTTTCTTCACAATTTCTTTTTTCTTCATTCTTTCTTACTTTCTTTTATTTCGACATTCCCTACTAAATCGTCTTCTATTTTTTGCTTTCTTTCTTTTCCTTCCCATTTTTCTTTTACTTTTTCTTTCTTTCTTTCTTTTGTTTGTTTGTTTGTTTCTTTCTTTCTTTCTTTCTTTCTTTCTTTTTTTCTTTCTCGTTTTTATTTCTACATACCGTACTGCATTTCTTCTATTTTATTTCTTTATTTTCTTTCATATTTAACTTTTCCTTTCTTTCTTACTCGTTTTATGTCAACTGCGCTTATTAGATTATATTTTATTTTTTCTTTCTTTCTTCTCCGTCATTGTTTTACTTCCAGATTTCTGTCGTATTATTAATCATCCATTAATGCCTAAATTTTTTTCTAATTTTTTATTTCATTTCTTCATTATTTCTTTTCTTCCCATTTTTTTTTCTTTTTCTTTCTTAAGTTTCTTTTTTTTCTAGTTCTTTCTTTCTTCGCCTACCAAATTGTCTTTCTTTCTTTTTTTCTTTCTTTTCAAGCCTTATTGTCTTTGTTTTTTTCTTTTCTTTACTTTCTTCCTCCTTTTTTCTTTCCTTCATAATTGCTCTAATTGATTTACTTGTTTATTTTTATTTCTTCCTAAATTTCCTTCCATTTTTATTTTCCTCATAAATAAATGTACAAAATTAATCTCTATCTATCTGTGTGTGTGTGTGTGTGTGTGTGTGTGTGTGTGTGTGTGTGTGTGTGTGTGTGTGTGTGTGTGTGTGTGTATGAATGCACGACCGCAATTTTCGACGGATTTGCACCAAAATGTACATGCACGTGCCCCAAGTTAGCGGGAAGGCCAAGACCGACTTTGCATTTCCCAACTCCCATCGATAGTGGAAATAATCGATCGATTTTTTCCTACTTCTACTGCAGTTTTCATGTAGTTTGCGGCCATTTCCTACTGGCCAGAGTGAGAGCCTATAGCTGGCTGCCACGAATAAGCAGGAAGATTTTATTGGCCAGCGTGAGAAACAACAGCTGACTGATACGAATGTTAACTAGCATGCTAGCATGCAAAAAAAATCGATAGCTGCATTCGTCACAAGTGGGAAAAATTTAAATCTGCACGGCACTTTACTCCAATTGGCTCATTCGCTTCCTTAAACTCAACGTTGATTCTGATTCCTTATAACTGGGTTGGGTGTGAAAAAGTATTTGTTGTTAACATTCTTTTTTGATTCGGTTTTTCCAGTTACGAGGCCTTTTTTTTAAAGCTGATCGTTTTTTGTTCATTTTGTTTAGTTCTTTGTTCGTAACAGATTTAATGTTTAGTATAAAGCTTAGAAAAAATTCGCAGTATGAGATAGGCAAGAAGTAAGGCATGTAGCAACATCAGCACGGCAAAGGGCACCACTTTAAAGGCAAGGAAGGGCAAAAATATTTTAAGTCAAGTGATAGCGATTGCTGTATGAGTCGTACGATTTTTGAATCAAGCACGGGCAACGCCGGGCCATGCTGCTAGGTCTTATATATTTTCCTCCATTACTTCTTAATTTTCGTTTAGCCTTTCTTTCTATATATTTCTTCATTCTTCCTTTCTTTTGCTTCGTAATTTTATATCTTGTTTTTATTAACCAGACTTGGCTCATATCTGTGTCCCTTTTTTTTTTAGTCTTTCTTCCCCGCTTTCTTTCTTTCATTCTTTCCCTTATTTCCTTTGTTCATTTCTCTTTCTTTCTTTCTTTCTTTCTTTCTTTCAAGCATTCTCTAAGTTTCTTGGCTCATTTCTCTGTCTCTTTCTTTTTTTATCTTTCTTTCTTTCTTTTTTCAAGCATTCTCCTACTTTCTCATCACATTTGTCTTCTCTTTCTTTTTATCTTTCTTTCTCCTTTCTTTCATTTTTCTCTTAGTTTCTTGTCTCATTTCCATGGGTCTTTTTAATCTTTTTTCTCTCTTTCTTTCATTTTTTTCATTGTTTCTTTTATTTTCTGGTCTCCTTTCTCTGTCTCTTTCTCTTTATCATTCTCCCTATTTTTCTTTCTTTAATTCTTTCTCTGACTTTCTTGGCTTATTTCTCCGTCTCTTTTTTTCTTTCATTCTTTTTCTCTTTCTTCCATTCTTTCTCTTACTTTCTTGGCTCATTTTTCTGTCTCTTTATTTTTATTATTCCTTCTCTCGTTTATCGTTCATTCTTTCTCTTAATTTCGTGTCTCTTTCTTTTTATCCTTCCGTGTCTCTTTCTTTCTTTCATTCTTTCTCTCACTTTCTCGGTTCATTTCTCTCTCTCTCTCTCTCTCTCTCTCTCTCTCTCTCTATACTTCTTTTTCTTTTTCTTTCCTTCTCTTACTTTCTTCGTTCATTTCTCTGGCTCTTTCTTTTTTTTTTCTTTCTCACTTTTTTTATTCCATTCTTTGTCTTACTTTCTTGGTTCATTTCTATGGCTCTGTCTTTTTATCTTTCTTTCTATAATTCTTTCTTACATTCTCTCTCTTACTTTCTTGTCTTTTTTCTCCGTCTGTTTTTTTTTTTTTTTTGTCATTCTTGTATCTTTTCCTATCTTTTATTCTTTATCTTACCTTCATGGCTCATTTATCTGTCTTCTTTCTTTCATTCTTTCTCTCTTTCCTTCTTTCCTTCTTTCTCTTACGTTCATGGCACAATTCTATGTGTCTTTCTTTCTTTCTTCCTCTTCCGTTCATTGCTCATTTATCTGTCTCTTTATTGTTGTTATTCCTTTTCTTTTTCGTTCTTTCATTCTTTCTCTCTTTCCTTCTTTCCTTCTTTCTCTTACTTTTATGGCACAATTCTATGTGTCTTTCTTTCTTTCTTTCTTCCTCTTACGTTCATTGCTCATTTATCTGTCTCTTTATTGTTGTTATTCCTTTTCTTTTTCGTTCTTTCATTCTTTCTCTCTTTCCTTCTTTCCTTCTTTCTCTTACTTTTATGGAACAATTCTATGTGTCTTTCTTTTTTTTCTTTTCTCCTCTTACGTTCATTTTTGCTCATTTATCTGTCTCTTTATTGTTGTTATTCCTTTTCTTTTTCGTTATTTCATTCTTTCTCTTTTCCTTCCTTCCTTCATTTCTCTTTCTTTTTTCCTCTTGGAACAATTCTATTTTTCTTTCTCTTTTTTCTTTCTTTTTCTCTTCTTGGGATCATTCATTGCTCATTTATCTTTATCTCTTTTTTTTTTTCTTTCCTTTTTTTTTTTCGTTATTTCATTCTTTCTCTTATTTCCTTGCCTCATTTCTCTGTCGCTTTATGTTTATCATTCCTTCACCCTCTCTTGCTTTTTAGTTCTTGAATTATTTCTCTGTTTCTTTCTTTTTATCATTCCTTCTTTTTATCTCTTTCTCTCTTTCATTCTTTCTCCTAATTTTTGGCTCATTTCTCTGTCTCTTTCTTTCTTTCATTATTTCTCTCTTTCTTTCTTTTATTTATTCTTTCACTTTCTTGTCTCATTTCACTGTTTTTCTTTTTATTATTCTTTCCTTCTTTCTTTGTTTCATCTTTTTTCTTTCTTTTTTTTTTCACTTTTCTTTTCATTTATCTTTATCTTTATTTTTTTTCTTTTTTTCTTTCTTCTTTTCTATTTTTTTTTCTTTTTCATCTTTCTTTCTTTTCTTTTTTTCATTTTCTTTCTCTGTCTTTTTCTGTTTATCTTTCTTTCTTTTTTTCTTTCATTTTCCTTTTTTCTTTCATTTCTTTTTTCTTTTCATTTTTTTCTTTTCTTTTTTTCCCTATTTTCTCTTTTTCTTTTCTTTTTTTTCTTTCTTTTTCTTTTTCTTTCATTTTCTCGTAATTTCTTGGCTCATTTCTCCGTCTTTTCATTTTTTTTTCTTCTTTCTTATTTCAATTCTTTTTTGGCTCATTTCTCTTTCTTTTTTTTCATACTTTTCTTTCTTTTTTTCTTTTTCTTTTCTTTTTCATTTTCTTTATCTTTCTTTCTTTTTTTTTTTCTTTTCTTTTTTCTTTATTGATTTCTTTATCTTTCTTTCATTTTCTTTCTTTAAAATTTCTTTCTTTTTTTTTCTTTTTTCTTTTCTCTCATTTCTCTTTCTTTTCTTTTCTTCTTTCTTTCTTTTCTTTCTTTTTTTCCTCGTATTTTCTTTTTTCTTTCTTTTCTTTCTTTCTTTTCCTTTTTTTCTTTTCTCTTTCTTTTCATCTTTCTTTCTTTCTTTTTTTCAATTTTCATTTTCTTTCTTTTTCTTTAATTCTTTTCTCTTTTTTCTTTTCTTTCTTTTCATTTCTCTGCTTTTCTTTTTCTTTCTCTCTTTTCTTTTCATCTTTCTTTTTTTCTTTTCTTTTTCATATTTTGGCCTCGTATTTTCTTTTCTCTTTTCTCTCTGCCTTTTTTTTTTCATCTTTCTTTTTTCTTTTTTCTTTCTTTCATTTCGTATTTTCTTGGCTCTTTTTCTCTGCCTTTCTTTTCATCTTTCTTTCTTTTCTTTCTTTCATTTTTCCTCGTATTTTCTTGGCTCTTTTTTCTCTTTCTTTCTTTTCATTTCTTTCTTTCCTCTTTTTGGCTTTTTCTTCTGCCTTTCTTTCCTCGTTTTTTCTTTTTTCTCTTTTCTCTCTGCCTTTCTTTTTTTCTTTCTTTTTCTTTCTTTCATATTTCCTCGTATTTTCTTGGCTCTTTTCTCTCTGCCTTTCTTTTCATCTTTCTTTCTTTTTCTTTCTTTCATATTTCCTCGTATTTTCTTGGCTCTTTTCTCTCTGCCTTTCTTTTCATCTTTCTTTCTTTTTCTTTCTTTCATATTTCCTCGTATTTTCTTGGCTCTTTTCTCTTCTTTTTTCTTTTCATCTTTTCAATTCTTTTTGGCTCTTTTCTCTCATTTTTCCTTTTTCTTTCTTTCTCTTTTCTTTCATTTTATTTTCTTGGCTCTTTTCTCTCTGCCTTTCATTTTCATCTTTTTTCTTTCTTTTCTTTTTCTTTCTTTCTTTGCCTTTCTTTCATCTTTCTTTTTTCTTTTCTTTCATTTTCTTCGTATTTTCTTGTCTCTTTTTCTTTTCATTTTTTTTTTTTTCTTTTCCTCGTATTTTCTTGTCTTTTCTTTTTTTTCTTTCATTCTTTTTTTTTTTATTTTCTTTCTCTTTTTTTCAATTTCAAAGTATCTTTCTTTCATTTTCTTTTTTTTTTTTTTCTTTTCCTCGTATTTATTTTTTTTTTTTTCTTTTCATCTTTCTTCCTCTATTTCTTTCTTTCTTTCTCTTTATTTCTTGCTTCATTTCTTAGTCTCTTTATTTTTTTTATAATTCATTCTTTCAATTTACTTTCTTGGCATATTTTCTCACATTCTCCTTCTTTCATTCTTTCTTCTTTCTTTCTCTTGTTCTTTCTCAATTAAATTTTTCCATTCTCCTTATCCTTAATAAATTTCTTTCCTTTTTTTTTCTTTCTTTTTTCTTCCTCCCTTTCAACCTTCCTTTTTTTTCTTTACCTTTACTATTTTTTCATTCTCTTCATAAATGTCTTTCCCCTCTTCCTCTCTAACTTATTCTGCTATGACTTGTTTTGTTTCCACTTCCCTTTTCTTTTGTATTTGTTTACGAATCCGAAGTCCATAACAGATAAGGGAAAAGGAATAAATCAAGGAACCAATAAATTCTAAATAATTTTATCTTTGACAGAAAAGAATTTAAATGAATGGATTTCATTATAAAAACACATCTTTTTCACCAAGATTTCACAGAAAGAAACAGCAAACAATGATACGAACTGAAATGCCACTCGTTAACTTTGTGGGGAATAGAGAGATGGGAATATGTGGGTTGAAAGTTAATCCATAGAAATTGCGCAAATTATTAGACGTTAACCTCACAAACCAGTAATATAGGTGCCGCCTAAACATGACTTTCTTGGCAACGACCACCTGCCTTTGAACATTGGAGTCTGGCGCTACATGATCACAAACGATGAACTGTAACAAATAATAGAAATACACACCAGTTTAGGACGGCCAACGGCAACACCTAAAATGTATAGAACAAATAACTAGAAGGGCAAATGATTCATCTTGCAAATGTGCAGGTATAAACATCTACATAGAGAAATACATATATTTCTTGCATATAACACTTTTCAGAGTGCACAGATACTTCACTTTGATCCTTGGCAGAAGTACCAATACAGACATAAAATATACTATCGTTTTTCATGTGTCTTATCTTTTCAGTCTTAAAGAGTGATTGATTTTTACGACTTATCAACCCTTTGTTAGTTATTTAAAGTCAACATGTAAAAATAATTCTATTTTAGGTTTTTTTTTTTGTGAGCAACTCTTGCATTAACATTTTTTGAGGATAACAATGATTTTCCAGATACAAGTTCTATTTAATCTATGGAAGGAGAAAAATGGATTCATGCCTTTTTCCAAAAACTATTTGTGCATAAATGAATGTAATGAACCTGACTGGAATTTGAACTCAACCTTTCAAGTGATTGTGGGCTATAAAAGCAGAACAGGTGTGAACCAAGAAGATTATAGTTTCACCTTATATTTCCAAGAAGGCACACAAGCATCAATACCATCTTTTACCCAATAAGAAACCTCAGTGGCACAACTTTTAACAGGAATGTTAAAAAGAGCCTCACAATGCAAAAAAGTCCTACTAATTTAACTAGGAGGAGGACATAATTTATACCTTTCCTACAGGTATTTGCATGTAAATGAATGTCACGAACCCAATTGGAATTAGAAGTCAGCACTGATTTCTCATTCCAATCCACCATCCATTATATCACCCAGACATCTTTAGGTTTTAAAGAAGACAATCCTTCATCAAACTCTGAAGACTGCTGCTACAACATTACAAACAAAGAGATTTACCAAATAGCAAAAAAGTACATCTCTTGAGGACTACCAACAGCAGTAACAACTAAAATGGATAGCACATGTAACTAGAAGGGAAAATAAGGACATAATCAAAATGTTAACATTCCACACAACTCAAAATATAAGGTTAAGAAGGAAAGTCCAATCCGTACTGAAAAGAACACTAATAAGTACTGGACTTGAGAAACTTATTTTCCTCGTTGTTTGGTCAATGAATTTCAAATATTTCACTGTAGGGAAACGGATATATTACTATCACGATTACAATATCTCCAATAAACGAGAAATGTACAATTCTATGCAACGTCTAAATTTATTTTTATACTAACCTCTTAACAACATAAGCAGCTAAAATTAGAGGGCTACTGTTAAAATATACTAAGTAATAAAATAAAATAAAAACAAAATAACGTAATAAAATAAAATAAATAATATAAATAAAATATAATAAAATAATATATAATTAAAATATACTAAAGTTTAGGAAATATAAGCCTCATGAGCCGCTCAAAGTAAAGGGCTACTGTAACAGTGAATATTGTCAGAGTTATACAGTACTGTAACCGTGGATATTGTCAGAGTTATGCAGTACAAATATGCAGAAATGATTCGGTTCGCATAAAGATAGCATAGTGTGCCCTAGCATGTTGAATCAATTGGTAGGTTTGCTGCTAGGAAAGTTGCTTCACTGTGTCGTGTTAGACAATCTATCTTACATAATTATTAGTCTACCATTCGTCCATGCTTTGAATATTGCTGCTAGAAAGGGTAAAGTGATCCTTCTGTATCGGAGGTAATAGCAAAATTGCTAAAAACTTGTAAAAACAAATTTGTTAGATTAAGCTCTGAACCGATGTATCTGAAATGATTAAAGATATCTCACTGGAATTCTCCGAGATTTTTTTATAACCCTACTAGACTCTAGTTTGAGCAATAACAATGTATAATTGCTCTCTAAGCCTGACAGAAGCATGGTGATGAAATCAATCATCAACGAAAATGACATGCTCATCATTAATTAATCATAGCTGAAGATCGGAAGCTCATGAAGGACTGAAATAAAAGTCATACATATATATATATATATATATATATATATATTCCAAGATAATTTTCCAACTTATTCAAAATGATCTTCGTCCACTCTAACCTTCTAACGTTCTGTCTTCGAGTAGCATGGTACATCAGAGGTTTCACGTACGATTTCATTTTCAAGTCTTTTTACACTGCTCTTTGGGCTATCATACCTGAAAATCCTCTCTCACATGCCAGATGTCTTATGCATTGAGTTGGATCCTTTTCAAGTCTATTTCACTGTTCTTTGGACTGTCATAGCTGAAACTCTTCTCTCATATCCCAAACGTCTTAAGAATTGAGTTGGATCTTTTCTAATTGATCTCTTTAGCTCTGAGTTGAAATGATGATCCCTCTTTCTGTTGTGACCTTTTGATCCAGTTTTCCTCTCTACTGTTCCCTCTTTTTTAAACTTATTCACTGTTTTATTAATGGTTCTTGAATGGGCTTTGAATATAGAAGCCAAAGTATGAATGTTGGTACCATTACTGAAGACATGAATGATCTTTTTCCTCTCATCATTGCTCAGTCCAGGAGACTGTGGTCCTGACACAGACCAATTTTAACCTGCTCTATTGTTTGCTGAATAACTCAAAGGGTTCGTACTAAAAATAGTATCAGGATGGCTAAACGTCCTATCTGAAAACCTGGCAAAAAGAAACTCAATTACTTTATTTTCTCTTTAGATATTAAACATTTTGTGGGATGGATAATTATGCTGTTAAACACTTTGGGCAAAGTTGCTGTTATACCCGGTTTATTTAAAGGCCCTTAATAAGATCCAAAAAAGAATCAGCAATTTTATTAGTCC